TTGGGCCGCTAAAACATTTATGAAAAGGCCACGCTTTGCGCTAATCGAAGGTAAAGTCTGTTTCGCAGCACAGCAGAGTCACCTATAAAATAAGCTGAATACGTATGGTCTTGTGTTTTGATAATTTTACAGCCTACTAAATAATATAAAATTGACTCGGCAAATATAGTAATTTGGCTAAAGCAAATAAGAAATCAAGGTTTGGCCTAAGAAGCTCATACTTCCTTGAGGCCTCGATTGGACCAATATCACAAATAACCTCAACTGTAGTACTTGTACGATGCAATTGCAAAACCACCTCAGACGAAAAGAGATACCTTGGTGAAGATGGTATGCATCCCATCTGATACCAGCCGCCACAAAAATAATCTGTCCTTTGATCATTCTGTCGATACCTTTGATGGATCAAAGCTGCACCTCTTTCGCATCGTACCTTTAAGTAAACAATGAACGTATACAGCATCGTCTACCTAGAAATAAAAAAATCAAAAGCTCTTGAGGGCGCTCTATGTGCGCGACGCCTCAACCCATCTCGCAGAACCAAATTGTATTTTTGCTTAAAGTGCAGTTATTCTGCCTAGTTAGTGCATGTCTATAATTGATGTACATTATACTGCAACGGGTCAAAGCTATCAGCACTGTAACCTTTAAACGTCTATTATCGGCATCGTATTGAGTAATGTTAAACTATGAACACGGTAATTGGTCTCGAAAAAGATCAATTTACTTTCCTGGTACAATCTGCCTTTATATTTCGAGTTTTACGCCCGGTATCGCCATTAGGTATTCCATCAGACAGACGGCTGGCTCCCAGCCATCAAGAAACGAAGTGTGTCTATGTCTGGGTTTGAAGCTAGACCACAACCTGTTCCTAAGATTAACAAACAAATACGTTACCCACTAATCTATCACGGGGACTAGTGTAGTGTGTCTGCAAGAACTGTGCCGAATGTTTCAAACCTAATGTATTTCTTGCAAAAGCCAAAGAAAAAAGGACTCGACTGCCTATAATCATCTTTAGATATAGGTAAACACAACGAAGATGAGCTGTTGTGAGAAATAGTGGAAAAGTGAGTTTTTAATAGCGCGTATTTAAGCGTTTCCAAGCTTCTTCTTTCCAGCTATATTGTAATTATTATTTATATCCATATTCTCCGTAAGAAAAAATAGACAAATCCGCATCAATAAATTATTGCAATGTATTTTTCTTTAACTACAGGTTTTCATAATCACTATATTAATACTATGTTTACTGGGTTAGGTTTCATAAAAACATACGTCTAAATTGAATGAACTATCAAAAAAAAGATGATAAAGTTTGATATAAACCAATAAGGTGTAAATGGTAAGCAACGTAAAACTTGTTGTACGCTCGATTATTTATTTATGACTTTAAAGACGATTTGTTCGACTTGATGAAAGCGGAAAATAACGCTGATGATGGCTGAGGTGCAAGCCCATGGATTGGATAGATTAATGATGTGTACTGTCGACATTACGGCCCACAGGTAGTTGAGTCTAGATGCAACGAACAGATCAACATAGGATCGTGTTTCGACCTTATTTTCGAATGCAACTGCATCTGTAAAAGTTTATTTATTTTTTATTCATAGTGTATACTTTTGCGGTGTAACAACACAATGATTTACGAAATGTAAGATAGTAATGTTTTTATTTAGGGAATAATATCGTCGGGTATTAAATCGCCACTGGACCTGATCATCTTGCGCTGTACTATTCTCCTGGATTGTTTAACTACTACTCTAGGCTAGAACACACGGATGTTTTAAAATAGGAAAAGGACTAGCTTTCTAATAGAATTAAATGAGGCACATTTAAGCGGCTGTAGGTACTGCGAGCTTGTACTTCGCCTTTGCTTTACACACAATCTAAATATTTATGCTGAGTTGTCAACTGGTGCCTTTCTCACGACATATCTGATATATATAGATATACAGTATCATTCAAGGCTTTTGATATATTTTTGGCTATTTGAAGCTAGAAAATATTGAGATGCATTCATGTCATTATATTAACAAGTCAGTACTCAGTCTGGAGGCGATATTTTCTGTTTCGATTTGAAAGGCTTGGTGTTTTCTTTGGCTCTTAACTCAATATACAACAGCTATGCTCCAACCAGTAGATTGTCCCATAAATGAGCTATGAAGACAAAGGCTACTTGCTAGGTAAATAAGTGGTAATTTGTTAGCGTGAGCTAACAAAAAAACGGCACCCAGTAGTAAGTACAATGTTACCAATCTAATTTTCCGGAACATTGTTACCAATTTAACATTCCGAAGCACCGGAACACTAAAGGACATTCTTGCACCGCACTCGGGAACCCGCACGACTGGGAAAAATATATTTCGATTGAGACCCTTGAACTCGAAAGTTTGCCGTGCAGGCATCAAGAAAAATTCGGCCTACCTATTTTCTTTGCTTCATAAAATGCGTGAGCACCGTAGTGTGCGTTCTTGCCGGTACACCTCACCTGAGGAACCTGTAGCTCGAGGACTACCAAATATATGTGTTAATTTTTTGTAATGTGGCTAATGTTAAACACGTTTTCGGCATAATGATATTTATGTGTTAGAAAGTGCGTTCTTTCTTTAAACACGTGAATGATAAGCGTGGCAACAGCAAATTATCGTATTCACTGCGATTTTACATCATATAAGCGGAGTCGTGGGCCAAGGCAAGGTCCGTTAGTGGCATCAACATGTCCCTTCTAATATCAAACATCGTAGAGCCCTTTGTTCTCTCACAGTGTCGCCATGCAGCTGAAAACGTCACCTTAGCACTAATCGTCTTTCGGAAAGGATTTAGAGTTTCTAGCCGAGGTTCCGGGACGTCACTTTTGCTCACGTGGGCACAAACTACGAAAGCGGCCCGTTCCACAATAATTTTGACTTTGCTGCGGTGAAAGCGCATACACTCGTATCTCCATCCGCTGGCCTTCCGGTGCATTCCTTTGGGCAAAGAATGTATGAAACACATGGAATGAAAGCCCTCGGTCAAGGGCCGCGCATTTTTGCTTGTTGGCATGCGTCTTACTGCATATGCGATTTCACTCATCTGCGTAAGTCTGTTCAGAATGCGCTTAGGTAAAAGCTGCATCGCGTTTTCAAATTTCAATAAATTGGGATCTGGATTTTGCAAGCTCATGCCGTTCGCTCGCTTTCGAACATCACGTGCGACGACCCTGAACATATTTATTAGCTTGAAATTATCATAATTTCTTCACGTGCTGGTATAACTAACGATAGGTCGTAGCGTTGTTTGCCTGTACTGTAACAAGCTTGACAAAGATGACAATTTGTAAAGTTTTTTTTTTAAACCTTTTGAGAAAACATAATGTTATACTTAACGATAGTATCACAGAGCCTTTTCAAGCGACCAAATAGCCTGATTTATGGTTACGGAAAATAGCCGCAGTATTTTTAGAAGTAAAAACAGATATTTTAATACTCTGTTTCAATAATCCGCTACTTAAACTTTGACTCCCATTAAAAATCAGGCTGACGCAATTTAGCTTCTATTGCCTTGCTTACAGTCGCAATGACGTAAACGTGCCGTTTCCTTGTTTGCATGCGTAACTAACTTAAAGCTACATTAATAACGTCATGGTGAAAAAGTGAAAGTGCCCTCGCGTACCCGTGTACCCAAAAGAGCCAACTGCAAAACTTTTGTAGGGAACAAAGGTGACTATATGATTTGAACGGTAGTTCTAATAATGCTAACAACTATATCGCAAATATTCTACTGATCAATAATATTTAAAAAAGGAAGAACTAGTTAAAAAAGGTCAGTTACTAGATATTGCTAAATATATAGCCGAAAACTCTTACTATTCTAATGACGTTACAACTGATGATTATTAACGACAGATCATACAAAATGTTTAATAGTTGTTAATTAGCGTTTAATTAGCAATTAGGTAGGGACACAACCTTGCACATAAAATCCAAAATACAAAACGTAAGATGAAAAAAAACGAAAAGGACGTAAGACATGCATATTTCAGTTACGATATCAGTGCAAAGGAAGGAATGTTAGATTGCCACCAAAGCCATGCCTTATAAGCAAGGTGTCAAATCCATGGATCAGTCAGCTCAAAAAAATACTTGAAATTATAACAATCAGCGCATGCCTTTAAGAAATTTCGCATATTTGATTAGCTTGATTTAATTGGCAAAAGGAAGCCACTTCGCCATAACAGAAGACAATATTTTAAATGTATAGGTAGCATTTATATGCACATACTTAGTGGTTTCAAAAATTTTAGATGGAATGATAATAATAACAGACTTGAACATCGATTTACCTGATGACTTCTACGACAAATATTACGCTGAGCTATTGCAATACGTATCGATGCACGCCACGCGCGACAGAGACAGAATTATTTTATCTTGATAATTCCGACTTTCCAGCCGTTTCCATTTATCTCAACATTTACTAGAGATTTCGTTGGGAGTGATGACACACTTCTATAGCGGACTCGTTCGGTCGAAGGGAATAAATCTCTGGCCCAAGGCTGATCTTGACTCGTTATCCTAATCCTAAATTGAACGTACGTGTGATAAAGTTCGGTCTTGTTAGTACGAACTTCAACCAATTGTTGTCTATCGCTGACTGCACGAATACAAAAATAGTTGTCACCGTTGTTAAGAAACTTCGACTGCCAATAGCCACTTGTACGGGAGGGACATAGCTCCAACCGTGAGCAACAGCAAAAAAGGCAGTCAGAGTCCCCTAAATACGTCAAGAAAGCTTCTTCGTTAAGCCCAACATTTAGATCCATATGATCATTTGTATTTGTTGAAAAAACTTTGTGACATCGTTAGAACCTACTGTGCCTGTTGTTGTTGTCCGTAGAACTGAAGTACTTAAGCCTAAAAAAAAGGACTACAATACTTTAATGAGAAGATTTCAGGTTTAACGCTAGAAGTAATGAGTCGCTTTATCATCTAAGTCACGGAGAATTATTTATTATACGTTTTTGTTAATGTTATTAACATTTTTACATGATTGGATCGCTTAACTTACACAAAATATATTCTTTTTCATTATGCAGTACACTGCAATCAGCAATTATCTCATAGCAACAGAACCGAACCAAAAATCAGTGTCAGTGCACCGTATTTGCTGTTCGCCCTTGCGCCCCATTTGGAGTTTCCTTATATTTTTCACAACAGACTTAGTTAATCGAGAGGCTACAAAGGATAATAAGGAGAAATCGTTTCCGTTATTGTCTTTAACGTTTGCCATAAATAACTCGACTATGCGACACCAAGCACCCTAAACTCAATTAATGTTCACGCCCATTTTAGAATCATATGCTTTAAAATTCAGTGTTTTCTTTTTCATACGACCATATAATACACCAAATATGACTGGTAAGTAAATACCAAATAATTTTCAACAAATATTCAACAAATATTTTTGTAGGAATGATTACGACGAACAAAAGTTACATCTCTAGTCCTGTGAATCTTATTTTTTTTATTATCTGCACTGGGTCGGTAGGCTTTAAAAGTTTAATGAACTTCCAATACTTTCCTGCCTCAATTAGCAATATCAAATCGAGTAATGTTATAACGTATTCGGATGTTTAAGCCATATGCAATGTTTTCCTATCCATTCAATCACGCATACATTTACTCATTGAGGGAATTAAATGGTCATAGGAAGATAGGTGGCAACTATCACAACTGTGGTGAAACGGGGGGGAGGGGGAGGGCAGAGGGCATTATTTCCTGTATCTCTAGGTGGGATGAATTGCGATTTGGTTCAACAACTAGAGTTGTTCGCGCGACTAGAACAGTCAAATATATATCGTTTTGCTTTACGCTCGTGTTCTATATATCGTCGATACCCTCTTCAAACATCTCGAGTTGTATATAGAGGTTTATCCTCGCACTGTACTATACTAAATGTGCTTCAAGTAAAGAGACCGTTCTTTCGAACGCTCAGAACTCATGAACGAAAAATATTTAGAAAATGCGCTGCTTTAATATGATTTCTCGTCACTTAGAAAACTGCACGAATATTCCTGTGCTAGCCCAGTAAGTTTTGAAGATTTAACATTGAGATGAAAACTTAAATGTGTGCAAACTTCAAAGCCCATAATCAAGTTAAAAGTCAGGTCAAAAAGCTCTCCTTCACTGGCTTAGTTGACAGACTATGAAATATCAAATAAGGGCCGTCTCACCTGAAGTCATCAAATCAATACGGTTATCTTCTTATTCCTCGCATGTCGTCTATGTTGACAGTAGGATAAGCCTTGCTCTTTTACATAAAATAAACGATGTCTAAAATACAGTTTATCGATATTTATACCTCTAGTGTTACATCCTATGTGTGCACCTTAATGGTAGGGACGGCGTTGGCGTGACTTGAGTTCGCTACGACTGCGAATTTTCTAATGTAGCTTTGACCATAGAATGATTGATTCATTTCAATTGGAGCTGCATTCGTGTGTACTGTAGTTCGATGATAATAATAATTATTATTATAAATTTACATTTAATTTTCTCTTAAATCCTACTTGCAGCTGGGTGTAGCAACCATCCGGACACTTTTCGAAACAAGATTCTAAAATCTGCGGCCAACTAGAGCCATTCAGTCTAATAACATATTCGAAATAGAGGTACAAAGGTTTGATACGGATCGAACGTATTTGCACCGCAAACTTCTTGTCAGCTAAGCATACGTGTCCGTAACTACCAGAAGTCAGCAACAACAAGTTATAAAACGCTACATATTAACCTATCTTATTTCACGTACCTCTTCGCATCTGCCAAAATTACATTTGCCTTTTAACCAATACCGACCTGTATCGCGGCAATGGTATTATTGAGCATATCTGACTGTTTCATGTGTATTGCAATAGCTTGCAACAAATAATTGAGTTGCTAAAGAAACAGCCGAGAAAGGTAACCTGCCAAAAATCGTGTAGTGGCGGGAGATGTCTCGAAATAAAAATATTTTAACAATAACCTTCGCAACATAGGTCACCTCTTGGTACTTGTTGACTTTTCGTAACTTGCAAATAAGCTTGAAAAGAAGAATTTTTTACACACTGCTGACAGATTGCGGCGAACAATCTAAACTGTTGCAACGCGAACTCTTTTCTATCTAAGTGGAGCAACAAATATTCTTAAATTTTATGAAGTATTTAAGATACTTCATAAAATTTAGAAGCGTTACATGAACAAAAAAAGAACTTACTAGTTTGAAGATGGAGACTAGTACTTGCATTAAGATATTTTCTATTAGTATGAAATATAATTAGGAAAACAACAATTAATCGATAGTTATCCTGACAATACCTATTGCACTTATACAGTTGTCACATGATAATAATTCGTTTAATGCTGCGTATTACTTGCGAGCCTTGAAATAGGTCTGTACAAGACGCTCCTGTTTACAATCGGTTCGTAGCTCAACAAAACTTTGCAGCACCTGTGGGTCGAGTTGTTTCAACGCGTGGCTGTTCAAGAGATCCTGCAGTTTATTGTGCGGTGTCATAAGAAGGTTGACGAGAATCGACAGCACTTCGAAAAGACGATCGATAAAGGCGGGTAGTTGCCGCGCGCAGGCTCTGTATTCGCTAACATCGCACATGATAATGTAGGCAGTTGTGTGTGGATCGTACTGCATTGTCAGAATGTGTTCGTAGATCGCTCTGTGGAACTGAATGCCGAATTCTGTTAAAACGGCAATGCAATTCTGCCCGTCGAGATTCCGCTGGATGTGGCTTGTGCAGTCATTGACATAGCGACAGACCCGGGCACAAGTTGGGCTCGAGCTGGTCTCCGTCGGGTTCATCGGAGTACGGCGCTGCTCGTTAAGCAGCTCCCGGATCCAACCCATCATAGCTTGTAGACAGAGCTCGATGCCGTGTTGCATTTTTTGCTCCATTAGCTCGAAGCACTCACGCTTCTTCTGTAACTGCGTGCCGTACTCGGGACTCGAAGCGATCAGCGGTGCGACACTCTTGCAGAACAGGTCGTCCAGTAGATGAACCATCGTGTTACATTCCCTGACACAGTCGAGGAATGTAAGCCGGGGTTCAGCTTTTGTTTCGCTCAGCGGAATGCAACGGAGGCCTAGGTCAAGCGCGTATTGGATATGCTCGACGCAGAGACGTGACTGCAAACAATGCCAAATCTGGCAGGCGTTCTTCGATCGGTCAGACTGACGCGATAACACTCGGCACCTTCCTAGCGATTGACGCAGCTCTTGCAACATATTAGCCGCTAGTGTTTCCGAGAGAAATGTTTCCCCACCAAAATCTTCGGCAACAGGAGCAATATTGATGTTGGCTAAGGGCTTGATGAACGCCTGCATATCTCGTCGCAGGTCTTGTAATGCTCCCGCCGAACGCTTCACGTGATCTAGATCTTCATAATATCGCTTGAGCAAATGGTCGAGACGCTCGCGGAGAAATTGCATCTCGACGTTAATATACCCATCTAGATCCTTTTGAAATATCTGCCTTGAAAGTTTCTGAAGCAATGAATAGTCAATCTTGAATTTTGTCAACTCCTCAGAGAGTTTCTCTGTACTCGTATGCATCAAAAGAAGCTTCGATAGGTAGTCTCCTCTGTCGTTCACTTGAAGTTGTATCGTAATGTAATCTTGTAGTTTTACTGTATACACGTGGGTGATGAATTTCGCCATTATCTGGTTAGGGTTGTTAAACACCTGAACAACTAGATTTTGCGTGTTCCTACACAGAGGTATAATATCCTGGAACACATCGGATCTTATGTATGCGCCACGTTGGGCATCCGTTATGAATGTGTCGACGCATGTTTGGAAGCCCTTAAAGTGAGCAAGGATTGATTCAAGTTGAATCATCTTTTCCACGTCGCCAATCTCATGGGCATTTCGAAATTCGTCAATAAGATCGCTTTCGATCTGAGAGTATTTCGTTGTTATGCGAGCTTTCGCCTCGTCGAATTTGCCTCCAGAGGGAAGTTCTTGCGCGATTAGATGCAGCTTTTGAATTAAGTCAGAATTTTCATAGATATTCTGCTTTGACAGCGGAACGTCGCTGACCTCACTCTGGAAGTCGGCGAATTTTAGCATCAACTTTTCGGCTTCCTCGGCGCGAGCTCTCGGTGTGTTCACAGACTCTAGTAGGTCACCAAGATAAACGACTTTGGCAGCTACGCGTCCTATATGTGTGTCGAGGTTTTTGTACGTGCGTTGGCTTTGCTTATTCTTGTCGAGCAGATCCTCAACACGTCTCCAATGCCTCTCCATCTCATCACTGCAGTCTTTTTCTAATCGTTGGCATCGTTTTTCCCTAAATATGTAAACAAAAGAACATAGAAACGGCGACTGATTGACCGGCAAATATTCTTTCTATATAGAGGTGTACATATCACTCGCTTTTCGCGAGGTCCGTTTCAAATCCTGGATATTATAGATTGCATGATTTCAAAAAGGGTCTGCTATTTAAATAGCGGTCGACACTCACCGATGGTCGTACTCGAGCCTTAACTGTTCAATTTCGCCCCTGAAAGCCTCTTCAAGACTTTTGGCGTCGAAACGGTCATCTTTCTGTGGACCAAGGGTTCGCCACGCAAAGCGCTCCACCAAGTCTTCGGCACAAAAGTTCTCTGCCTCGCATTCTGCTATTAGAAAACTCATCTGAGCAGCCGTGAACACAATATATTTTAGTTTATTTCTTCAAACGTCTCTTTATTATTATTATTATCTGACATTTAAGGAAAAGACCTCCCATCGGGAGCGACTACGTACAGCGATTATTGTACACGCTTAAAATAAACGCGAAGGCACCTTATTATCACTATTTTTTATTAATAGAACTCATACTTAGTATCTGTTCTTCTTTTTCAATATAGAAATATTTTCAAATGCTAATCGTTTAAAAAATAGTAAATAGTTAGATTCACAATACATATAGCTATAATTAAAAAAAAAAATTGACTCGATTCAATAAAGTTCGTATGATAAACGTTCAGTAAAGGCGTAGAGCGTGTTGTGTAGTAAACAATTATAGTACATACTGTTTACATATCAGGTCATATAAGTCGAAATGGGATTTTGATAGGCCAGAGTTTCCTACTAGCCCTAAAGCCTCGTCTGAGCTTAGGCGTAAGCTATTTTGAGATAACCTAAGACGATGTGAATTGTTGTCCAATAATAATTTACAATGCAAGATATGTTGCAATCAATAATAGTGAGCGCTACAATGTTTGGAGGTAGCTGTGGCTGAAAACAAAAACTAAATTTTCAATAATTAGGTTATGTAATAGGGTGTATATATATGTATGTATGATCCCTTTTAGCCATTTGTCTCGGAAAAAGGTTTCTTTAATTAGTGACAACTTTATGTATTTGGATTAATTCATTACAAAAAATGATAATTTGATCTAAAAATCTCCACTCTGGCGTTTTTTCTATTTCTGCTCACGCTGTTCATATCGACAGAGATAGAATTTATCTCATGGCTATAGTTAGTATGCTTTGGCATTCAGTATCTACTATCCTAGCAGTGCATACAGTAGGATGGAAGGTTTGATATGCAAGCGGGCCGGTAGAAAACTATGATTTTGGATATACGGGACGACCAGGGATACTGCGTGGAAACCTATACCTCACTTCCAACTTGTATCGTACCAACAAACACCTCAGTTGTAGAAGTATTCACGACGAAGATAACTGAAATAAAAGTTAGATTCTTGGTAGATATTATGAATTCAGCGAAGGGAAAGTAAATACTCAGCACGTTTTTAGTCAGAACAGAGGTCAAAGCGGGTGTAAATAAATACTTAAACAAAAAGAGAAGTCCATATTGAATGAACTGGGGCAAGACTGTATAAAACCTATAACCGTCTCAGTATTTTCGTGCAATTAAAATCATGCAACGTTCTTTTTTACACACAGAAAAGGTGAAGGTAAGGGCAAACAGATCATGGTGGGATCACGAGTGCCCAAGGAGTATGCCCCGATAGTATCAAGCAACAAAATTAGCTCTAGCTTATTCGAAGGTGAACGCATATCGCGCTGCTTAAAGCTCATTACAGGCCTACATTAAATTTACCAGTTGTTTATCGATTTGGTCGAAACTTTAACGAACATTAGCATTCTTGCCAAAGTGTGGTTTTTAAGCCTCAGTGTCGTCGGCTTTCTGGTGTATACTGTACCTTTAATATACCTCCACAAGAAAACTTATTGTTGTCAGATCCGGGAACGGGCAAATTTGCCTATAAGGGCTTCTTCCAGTTCACCTGTTTGTTAGGTTCTCATTAAGATATGGTCTCACATCACAGTCATAGTATGTAACAGCTCAGTTCTGTTGGAAATAAAGTTTGCCATTTGGATCAAAGTCTTTCTGTATGCTTAGGAATACAAATTGTCGTACTAAACTCAGGTGGGTGGCATAAGTTTGTATTGTCAAAGGAGAAGGAACCCAACTATTTGCGTGAGATGCTGCATCAGACTGTAACTTCTAGTAAATTTACGTGGTGTCTTTGCGCAACATGATGATTTACAGTTGTCTGGTATATTATGTTGATGAATTCAATTTAAACGTAGCCTCATCCCTCTAAACAACCTTTGCTGAAAATTGGAACTTTACATTTTTGCAAGGGTCATTTGCAATGTTATTTTCTCCGGCCCGGATGAAAATTGATGAAATAGCCAAACTTTCAAATAAAACGTTGCACATATTTGGAAATCGCCAAGCGTGAACTTGTTCGGAGCGCATATCGAAGAGAGAACATTCAAGACTCTCGGGTTTCTTCCATTGATTTAAAGCCCATAAAGCCTTCTGTTGTAAACGTCACTGAGCCAACTGGAGAAACTACTTAACGGCACCTCGAATCGATAGGATCAAACTTGCCTTCCTAAAAGGAATTTTAGATTTTCACCTGTCCGCCAAAAATCGACTCGGTTCCACGCATGCATATACGCCGTTCTTCATTGAGTAACTTAGGTCAGAAACAGCATGTTCTTTCTGAGGTAAAACGAAATAATTTATTAGGTTTCACGAAGAAAAATTTGTCGATTTGAGCTCGGCATTTTCGACACGAAAGCAATGAAGAGTCATGCATGGAGATATGCATTTAAAGCCAAGTGCCACATACAAACCAGGTACCCAGCCAATGACTTACACCATTTACTTGGCACAATCGAAGATTTCCTACCGCATAGAAAAGAGTTTGCATAATAAATTACTGATAAGATTAACAATAATCAGTTTTCAATATCCTTTCTAAGTGGTTGTACCGCGTGAATTGTCGATTTTAAAAGAGCGTATTTTCGCAATTTCACGTGAAAGTAAATTGATTATCGTATTAACAGGGTGGGAGCAGATAGCCCGTGTACATCAAAAATAGTCAACATGTTTATCAAGTACATGAATCGATGCGTACAGCAACGCTATGGGTGCATTTTTCATAACCAGTTTACTTTTCATATAAATTAAGCAAAATGTATATATATAAAGGGAAATAATATTGAGCACGTGCGCACAAAGTGTCAGAACCATTGATATTATATATAATCTGAAAATATTATGGTGGTAAGAGAGCTTTGCAATTTAGCTTACTAGTTACTTCGATGATCAAATTTTGTTATATTAACTGTTATCGTATTTATCGCACAAAGCAGACGCACACACCAGGACTATTGCGTTTGTATATATATATATATATATATATATATATATATATATATATATATAAAAATCGTGCAAAATTGCTCAAACAGGAATGCCCACCTATTTGAACTTGCTTAATTTACATCGCTTTAGTGCTTCGTTTATTACTGCAAAACGATCCCTTATTATTATTATTATGTTTATAGAACGAGCGGACTTAAGCCGCATTATACTAAACTAATGCTCAATTTGTAGATACCCAGTCTATAGTTTTCACGAATGGGCGTATTTTCCATTGCTTTAGCTCGTTCTGCTTTTCTTCCTACCATTACAGTGTACTAGCATCTAAGGGAATCCGAATTATATCGTAATCACAACTTGGTTACTCACTAAGCTATTATTGACATGAAAGAGTCATAAACCTTATTGTTTTGCTGTTGATGAAGATGATTCCTCGACGACAATCGGTTACGGCGAGTAATTCGTTAGAAACGTTTTTTTTTTTTTCGGTGTGGGGTCACTCCTTGCGGCTAATGACTAATAAATACATTACAGATGCACTGCCGCCGCACACAGGCAGGCATATGAAACACATACATAGACACAGGTTGCCGAAACCTCAATAACAATTGTTCACTAGTATACTCCTATCTACTCGACCTTGCTGTAGGGAGCACTTCTGTAGTCTTCGTTACCCCAGCTTGAATCAGTTTTCTTTAATTTTCCTTTCTAATCGGTAACCAATAATTGTCAATAGGCGAATTTATTGTAGTATTAAAATTGAATACACATCAACCAAACATCACATTATATCGACGTTATACAGGCCTTCCGGCTGTTGACAGGGACTACCCCCCTTTTTGATATTACATGCATCAGTCTTTAGCAGGTATCTAGGGCTTGTAAATTTCGGACGTACCTCGAACCCTTTCAAACATAATAACAAAACTTAATTTCTTATTATATTTAACTGCCCGTTAATAGTATAAATGTATCCGGAATACGACACTCAAATAAGCTCCCATAATGATGCTATTTTTTTTTACTGATCAGTGGTTTTAGATGGCACACATTTCCTAGCGAAATTCTTCTCGCGACAGTCCAATCGTGCGGAAATATACTGATAACTCGAAGGAAGCGAACTTGGAGCAGTAGAATCAAAATCCGAATATTACATTCAGATCGTTTATGCTAACAGTTCTGTGCCGGTAGAAAAAGAACGAGTAGCGCAGATAATGTATCTACGCAAAATTGTAACCCAGGGTGTGCGATGTTTCGCCACCGAGGCCAAACATAAACACATCGAGAATATGGTAAAAAAGAGTAAAGTAGTTGTGTTCATGAAAGGAGTACCTGATGGTAAGAACAACATTTTAGGATGCAAGTAGTTCTAAAATCATGCGTTCAATAGCTTTTTACTTTTCTAAGCGTCGTACATTGTATTGTGAAGAAATTTGTTAATTCGGAATACAGATAAAATGAACTGAATGATACTCTCAGAAGCCTTGTTCACTTGTAGTGATCTGTAATGCATTACTTACTTGTTGTTAAAATGATTCCTTTTAGAACATAAAGGAGTACCAGTATAACTGAAAAGAAGACAATTTTCAATTCACTGAACCATAGCCCAAAATTTAGTCATTTTGTTTTTATAATATAGTCGATTATTCTTTCGTGTCACGTTTTTCTTTAGCTGTTCTACCTTTTATTTCACGACCACCCGCGGATACCCATATCGTAGTATGCATATGACCTTTTTTTACAGATGATGAAAAATTATAAAATGTTTTTCTCGAAACCTGCGTACACTGCAAACATCATATCAGGCGCACGATGTCCTGTCTCTTGAACTTATTGATAGGTTAAGTTGTTTCAAGTGCTTGTCATATGTGCTCTGAATTGGTTTCAGAGCCTCGTTGCGGTTTCAGCAATGCGGTCGTACAGGTGATGAAAATGCATAATGTACCCTTTGATGCGTACGATGTCCTTCAAGACGAAAGCTTACGACAGGAAATCAAGGATTTTTCGCAATGGCCAACTATTCCTCAGGTTAGAACTGGTTACATTGTCGAAATAATGAAAGGCAGGTGTGCATATAATTAGATAACAAACTTAGCCACCCGTGTGACGTCTGAGAAGTTGTTTTTCCAAATATGTCTTTATGACTGCTATTCGATTTAAAGATTGATCTCTTCTTTTGGACTCAGCTTGGGATTCGAGTAGATCTACAAATATTTCAGCGACGTTTTCGCTAGCGGACCCTCACTCGATATCATGTAACCTAAATTAAAAAAGGGTTGAATTTTCAAACAGATTGTGTCGGTCGTAATACAAATGTTAGATTAGATATATAAATATAATGAATAACTGAGAAACAATTGTTATTATTCTAGTAAGCATCCGTTATTTTCTAAAAGATGTTTTCTGAGAGGTTTTTTTAACAATTATAGTTTTGCATTTGGTCATGGTTCTATGGGCAGCGATGTGCTCCATTTCGGCAGTACTTTTATTTCTTGAATTGATTGAATTGATTTTGCTAGTTAGAGGTATTGTAGCATCGAAATAAATTCAGTGTTTACCAACATATAATTTAAGGCACATATTTACCACTTGTTATGGATGCAGAGTAGGATTTAATAGTTGTAGGTCCAAGGTTCGATACCCAATGTTATACGGAATTTCCAAAAGCGTTGGAATGATTTAGAATCGTTGAATTTAGTCAGCATTCAGAAAAGACTTTATTTGCAACATACGAAAATACGAACTGCAACTTTAGACATTATATATTGGGTACATAGGTGCTGAAAGGTCCAACATTTTATGTGAAAAACGTGTGATATCTAGGTCAAATATCACTGGATAAAAGCGCTGAACAGACTACCAAATTTGGCAAAAGATATTTTTTTCTAGGTCTACATTGATGGACAGTTTGTCGGTGGTTGCGACATTATCATGGATATGCATAAAAACGGTGATCTCGTTGAGGAATTGAAAAAAGTTGGTATCCGATCAGCGCTACAGGACCAGGAACCTCCAACGAAAAAATAAGCGACCTATGTATGGAGTTAGCCAGGAGCTAGATAATTATCGCACTACGGCAATGTCGCCGTATCATGTAGATATTGCAAATTGTTCTGCTACTGCTATGGTTAGTACCGATTTTATAAATTAGGTGTCTTATTATATAAATGATCATTGAAACTTTAAAAAACAAGAAATAAATTGTGCGTGTTGAACACGCATGTTGATGACTTAATCAAGCCTTATCGCTTTTATATAGTTGGGTAATCACATAATTTTACAAAACTACGTGGGCTATTTTGTAATACGGTGTCATCTTGTTAAATAATGCTAGTTGCTTGATTTCTCCTTTTCTATACCAGTTCGTATATTTGTAAGCTGTAGGCATAACGAAGCTGAACACTTCATTCAAATGAATACAATCCTTTAACATGGCTATCTTCAACGAAACGGTAAATGCTTCAGGGACTAGTAGACATGTATAAAAATGTCTATTTATTGGTTCAAGGAAGCCAGTAGTTAGAAAAGAAGCCTGACCTATTACATGGCAAACCTAAAAGGTGTCATTTAGAAAATAACTCACAAGAGAAAGTGTTTCACTAACATGCACTGAGATAACGACACATGATTCGATTAGAAATATTGCTTTTTATATTCAGAAGTACAAACATTTATTTATAAATTAGACGTTCCCTGTGGGGATACATCTGAATATACATATATACCAGGTGGATTCATAGCTGAGTTTGAAATAGATGTTTTGGTTTCCATTAGGTCGACTCACCGCCTACAGATGCAGTGCTATAGGCACATCATATATATCAAAATCGATTTACTATAAACTGATATTCTTGGTATGAGTTGCTTTTCTCCGCATCTATCAGATGCAGATATATGACAAGAACTGTTAAATCTTGGCTAATTTGGAATCCGATTCTTATGAACCCATTAAGAGTTCTAATGACTAAAAATACCCCAACATAAGTGATAATCCAAATATAAGGTGTTTTGATGACTGGGTTATTCGATCGACAAGCTTTCTACGAGCTATCTTTTTTGGGCAAGGAAGTGGCATTTAGTTTGTGTAGATCGTCGTGCAGTTGACCCAACATTGTCGCGTCGACAGGCCTCTGAAGTGCTTCCTTTGTTCTCCAAACAGCACGAGCCACATCCACGGGTAACGTAAGCAATCGGAATGGGATTGTTAACAGGTTACGTAAGGTGCTTATCTGCACAAAGAAGACAATGGACGCTAAGTATTTATGTAGAAGAAACAGCCAAGCAGAGTTAGGCACTCCACATACAGAGTAATCGATGTTGTTTTAATGGTAACGTGAACTCCAAACTAATGAAAATGCACCATAATCATGCAAAAAAGGAAAGACCTAATTAATGAGTAAACCGATATCTGCAGAACCGTAAAACTGAAAGTAAAAAGAGCGTTTTAACGTCAAGTCGGGCCTAATACCTAACTGACAACAACAGAGCTTGCATACACTTTGAAGCCTTACAGGAACAATAGATTTCAAAAACCCCTCTGCCTTTCTCGTACAGAAGCCTTCGTCTAAGGTTGGCTCGAATGAAACTCATTATAATATATTCAGTGAAAGGAGTTGCCGGACATTGACGATATGCTTGATATTCTCATAAGTTTCTCTACCTTGTAGTGGACCACTGCAACAAGTGGATAGGCGGCGTAACTCAATATCGGTGTTCCATTTAAGGAATCCGTATCATTGTCAGATCGTAACAAGCGAAGAGTATCATTAAATGGCAAGCCCATGTTATCCGCCGTACCGAACAGATTTGAAAGTTGTAGCTGTGCGCTTCCGTTATGTCCGCCATAATGGAAGTGCGTTGAAACCTGAAGAAAGATGAGTTTTTCTTTTTTTTCTTTTAATTTTCTAAAAGATAAAACTTAGCGAATAGATATACAGTGTTTTTCTAAATACGCTTCGATTTATATTTTTAGACGTCTACGGTGTCGGGTCTGGCAAAAATGTCTTTACAGTTTTATTTAATTGTCAACATAGTAGTTTTAAAATGGCATGTTTGAATTGTGTTTGGTACAAAGCAGATTTAAAACACATTATTAGTACTAGAATTAAATAATAGCTTCAATTACTCACGATTAAATCATATACCAGTAAGGCCGGTATAGATATTACTTAGCTTTTCAATTAGCTTCCGAAAATTAGCTGTTTCTTCCCTGACTACAATTGTGAACCGAGGTAGTGTGTTTTACGTAAGGACTTGCCATTGGCACAGGTTGCTTAAGTGCAGATCATCGGGGTCACATAGGGCTTTCTTTTACCAAAACATTGGCTCATTTACACATACATTTACCTAATATAT